GTCTCAGATCTTATACGCGAATGCATTCAGCGGGACTGAATGGCCAACCTGGTTCAGGCACAGAGAAACGGGTGACAGTTTGGGACAACTTGTTGGTGTCCATGGTCTTCTGAGAAAGGAGTGAACCTTATGGTTTGGGGTTACAGGTTCAGCTAGGTTTTAGGTTCGGGTTATCGGGTTCAGGGTGGTTTCAGCGCTCGAGGGGGCATAGTGTGGAAGGTAGGACGCAAGGAAATGAGGCATTCGACGTACGCAAGAAAGAAGCCACTGAATCATAGACATCTTGAACCTGCGTTCGAAACACCTGAACCATTCTGTCGCTTTCAGGCAGCGCCAGATCGCGAAGGCGATCCAGGCTGCTGGCAAGCGTCGAGACTGGGAGGAGGCGTGGACTCGGGCCCCACTGCTTCCGAAACTTTCCAAAAGATTCAGAAACCTAAGCAAGGAAGAGCCCAAACCCTTGAAAGCCTTAAAATCTCAACGTGAGGCCGTGAACCATCTGCGAGAGGCGGGTGTACGAAACGTACCTTTGCGACCTGGCGGCCCACGAAGGGACGAAGGGGGTTTGGGTTTCAGTGTCAGTGTGCTTCGAGTTTAACCTTCGCTTTTGGTTTTGGGGTTGTGCATTCGGAAACCTGTCTGGGTCGTGAAGTTTTCTTCCTGGTGCGAGGCATTTTTAAAGAGATTATGTTCAGGGTTGGTTTAAGGGAACACAGAAAGATGCGGATGGCTTGTGTGATTTATTCGTGGGAGTCGAAAAATGCTTAGACCTTCGACACTTCCGAAATTCCTGGACAGTTACAGCCTTCAACACCAGTGATGCCCTTTACACCCCAAGACCCTCCAGAGCTCAAGCACAGCAGGAATCTGGATTTGCCCTGGCTTCTCTCAAACATGTCGGGCCGGGAGCTTTTAAGGTTTTGGTTTAGGGTTTAGGGGTTTGGGGTTGCAGGTTGCAGCGTTCAGGGAACAGGTTTAGGGTACCCTATATCATGACATCCGAGTCCTGTCAACACATATTACGCCCCAAACCCAATGCCCTTACCTGTAATTGCACAACTGCTCTGTTGTGCTAGCAAAGGAACCCAATTATCTGCAATGCGGCCATCAGCCGGGCGTCCCAGAGTCTTCACCCGTGGTTGCAGCTCGGAGCCAGAGATGTGTCCTTTGTTGCAAGGTTGCACTGTTGGCTAATGGTTTAGGACTTAGAGTACCAACTTAAGCCCCGGCTCCTGAACCACAGACGGCATAATGTCGAGCTGCTTGCTACTGCAATGCTTCTGCTTGCTGTTCCTTCTGCAAGAATCACTGAAGGGTCAACTTTCAGATCCGGGGCCAAAAACGCGAAACCCCCTTGACCCAGAGCCCACGGTAGCCTTCACAGACTCCGAAGGCGCCTGCGCCCGGTCGGACTGTTGGCTTCAGGCGCTCAGCTTGGCTTGGCTGTGTGCTACTTCGTTGGAGTCGGCCTTTGTACTTGGCAAAACCGAAAAGTAACGGAATGAGCATGCGTGTGTCTGTATGTAGATGAACAGACATATGTCAAGGTAACTGAACAAGTAAGTAGCTGTGCATGTATGTCATATATGTATGTGTTGGGGGCTGCCGGGCTCTTGTAACAGTGGAATAACCATTTCCTTATATAGACACCACCAAAAAACGCACAACTGTTTTTGGGCAAGGAAGTTGACCAAGTTGGCCTTCCCAAACTACTTTTCCGGCAAATCAGTTGCTCCCTGTCTCCCCTCTCTCCCCTCTCTCCCCTCTCTCCCCTCTCTCCCCTCTCTCCCCTCTCTCCCCTCTCTCCCCTCTCTCCCCTCTCTCCCCTCTCTCCCTTCTCCCCCCTCTCCTCCCCTCTCCCCCGTCTCTCCCCTCTCTCCCATCTCTCCCCTCTCTCCCCTCTCTCCCCTCTCTCCCCTCTCTCCCCCTCTCCCCTCCCCCCTCTCCTCCCTCTCCTCCCCTCTCCTTTCCCTTCTCTCCCCTCTCTCCCCTCTCTCCCCTCTCTCCCCTCTCCCTCTCGTCCCCTCTCCCTCCTCCCTCCTCTCCCTCCCCTCCCTCACTCTTCCTCCCTCTCTCTCCTCTCTCCCCTCCCTTCTCTCCTCTCCCCTCTCTGCCCTCCCCTCCTCTCCCCCTTTGCCCCCCTTTCCACCTGTCTTCTCTCACTCTCCCCTCTCTCCCTTCTCTCCCATCCCCTCTCTCCCCTCCCTCCCCAGTACCAGCAATCTCTGAAATCTATTACTTCTCCCAGCCAGCAAGGGCAGCAAAACCGGTACTTTTTCAATGTACAAGGGAGCCAGTGGCCAGTAGCAGCAAACTCTCAGCCAGGCAGCCAGGAGCAGCAAATTCTCAACTCTGCTACTCTGCCAGGCAGCCAGGAGCAGCAATTTCTCAACTCTGCTAATCTGCCAGGCAGCCAGGAGCAGCAGCTTTCAAAATTACCTCTGTGTCTGTGACCACTAGGTTTCAGTTGTGGTTTTTTCTGGATTCAGTTGTGCTTTTTTTGTGGTTGTGATTTGAAGTTTATGCTTTTGCTGGTGCTTTGCCGTGGCTTGGCACGGTGGTTGAGCACAAAAAATACCACAAACTTCAAATCACAACCACAAAAAAATACCACAAACTTCAAATCACAACCACAAAAAAAAGCACAAACTTCAAATCACAACCACAAAAAAAGCACAACTGAATCCAGAAAACGAAAAATGCCACAAACTTCAAATCACAACCACAAAAAATACCACAAATTTCGAATCACAACCACAAAAAAAGCACAACTGAATCCAGAAAAAACCACAACTGAAACCAGAACAACACACAACTGAATCAGGAAAATTTGGAATCTACCTGCCAAAATGCTGGGGAAAGGCCGGCGCCTTTAAAAATGATCAAGTGGCCACCAGACCCCCCACGGTCCCCAGGCCGGCCAAGGCCAGCCCCCTCTGTGGCCTCCCTGCACCCCCAGGCCGGCCAAGGCCAGCCCCCTCTGTGGCCTCCCTGCACCTCACCAGCTTGCAGTTTGGGTTAATTAGACTCATCCCTTCTCCCCTCAATTCATTCCCCCAAAAAGAAGGTGCAGTGTCATTGTCTGTCGATTGTCTATGTTCGATGCGTGCGTAGAAGGGAAACGACTTATGGTGCTGAGTGAATGCTCAGTTGCAGGTTTTCAGGGGATGCAGCAGCATCCTTTCTTCTAGGCATGCTGCAGGAAGTCATGGTCTAATTTTCGAAATTTCTGATTAGCGGCATTGTCGGCATTGTGGCTTTCATACGGATTGATATCAATATCTGTGTTTATATCCCAAATGGCACATTACATGACTGGATGTCGATTAACTTATAAGTTATAAGTTCTAAGACATTACAGCTAACTATGAGGCCTACACTGTTTCGGGCTCCGTGGTCATAAAAAAAGAAATAACAAGAGTAGGTGAACAGAAACACCAACTGCGAAGATTGTGTGATCATGGCATAGGGAGAAGGGGAAAGCAGGGGGCTGGTGGGACTAAAATAATATCGATGCACAGATCACAGAACTATGCAGGGAAGGGAAACAAACCAGATTTTTTCTGCACCCATTTTTTCAGTGACAATTGTAAATCTAGGTTTTGCATGAACCCCTTATAAAGAAGTTGTGCTTTTTTTGTGGGTTTCATTGTGGTCACTGTTACAGGTGCCCGGCTGCCCCCAATGTATGTGTATACATGATACATGATATATGTATGCGTCGTGTACACATATGCCTTTATGTATACATGCATGCCTGCATGTACCGCATGTATGTATGCATGTATGTATGAATGTATCTAGGTATGTAGGTAGGTAGGTAGGTGTATATATATATATATATATATATGCATGTACATGTGTATGTATGTATGCATGCATGGATGGTTGCCTTGTCTCCTAAGCTTATGCCCAGCTAGACGGAAACCCCAACACCCAGACCCAAGCCCCAAGTCAAGCTGTTCAGCTTGGCAAAAGCCCCAAAGGCGCTGGCCATCATGGCCTCCATGGAAGCTCAGGATCTCCAGCTCGGGCCTGGGAAGTCTCGGGTTCCCTTAGAGGGCCCTTTCAGGGTTCCTTTATGGTTTCTGTGGGGTTTGGTTTCGGGGCGTTTTAGGTTTAGGAAAGTAGGGTTTCAGGATTTGGAGCCTCGGGATGCGGCATTTGGCAGGTTGGTTTTCAGAGAGGCTTGGGGATCTACAGGCTTGGACGTGCAGCGCAGTCGTTCGGCGTGTCCGTTGTACGCACTCTCGCAATATTTTGACTCGTCTTTGTAGTGCAGCTGAGTGAAGATACGGCACTTAATAATCAACCAGGAACCGCAATTTGAAGTGGTACATCATATCGTTTTACCGGTTGTTCTTCGTTTGTATATGTTCAAACACAACCACATAACCCGAAAGACTTGTCTTTCAGTGTTGGATCCAAAACCGTGAAGCTCAGCCTTATTAACTCTAAACCCTGAACCTCCACACCCTTTTTTGAATCCTAAAGCTCTGAACCGTCAAACTCCAAACCCCCCTAAAACCCTAAGCCATAAACTCTAACGAACACTGTGAACCCTGCAGCTTAAACCTTGGAACCTTAATGCTCCTCCTGTTTAAGTTATGTAACTGATTCGGGACCCGGGCGATGGGGTGGAGGGGATTCAGATCGAGATGATGCATATGTAAACGATGGTGAAATGAGACCGATAATGATGATGTTATCTGGTAGGTAGGAAAGCTGCAATGCATCTTCGTCTTGTTCGTGTCAGATAATCACAGGGTGTTTATGACTTCTTCATAAACTTTAGACTTTAGACAGATGGCCAAATACTGATTATGCATTCCCCTTCAATCAATGACAATGAACACGAATTTTGGATAGAATCAGCCCCAGGCTTTCTAATCCGTAACCCGCGACCCAGACCCCGAAACACAGCCCTGTCACGCCCCCTTGTTCCGTGCCGCTGCCATACCAGACAAGTTGCCCCTCCCTAGCAAAAGCCGCAGCTCAACATGGAGTCTTGGCTCAAAGTAATTGGGGTAAGCCCTAAATCCGAGTCCCCAGAGCATGACCGACAGCCTGAACCCTCAATGCCAAGCCCCAACCCTAAGCCCTACATAGTCTGAGAGTCCGTTGGAAGTCGGCTCTGTGAAGACTTGCGTTTCCAGAAACTCAAAACGTCGGTCCCTAAATTCGATATCCGGATAAACAGCCGAAGCCCTACACCTTAAAGACTTGAAGCTCTGCCGAGACCCAGTCTGACGTCTTGCTAAGAACTTCAAAGGGTAGCAAAGCAAAAGAGGTGAGACAACAGGTTTGACGGGTTCGGGATGTTTGCTTCGGGCTGAGCATGTCGGCGGCGAGAAATAATTAGCGATTGGGAGTTTTCGCTCTTCGAGCCTCTGCAGATTTAGGTAAGCCAGCATGTACGAACTAGGCACTTGCCGCAAAAATTCGACTGTTCAGGTTCCAGCAGTCTCGTTCATGCTGATGTTGTTGATGATGTTCTGATTGTTGCAGTGGTTGCCGTTGTTGTTGTTGTTGCTGCTGCATTGCACAGCGTTCAGTGGTCTAGAGTCTAACAAGCGGGTCTTGAGTAGAATGTTAGGGTGCAGGTTCTTTGGGGTGAAGTGTTTGCCGTCAGCCCCGAAGCCCACAACCCCACAAATATGGAGGAAATCTCAAAATCCTAAACCCTCAAACCCTGGAGCATCCTGGAGCCTTCGGCCCTAGACTCACCTCCAAACCTAAAACCCCCAGCACGAGTTTCACAGACCCTGCCCTACTCTAGGCCTTGTCTTGCAGGACTGTAAGGTGCACCCCAAAAGCCCCGTGAGGCGGGACTCGGCATTCCGGTCAAGCTGCTGCACGAGGGCATCGGCCACACTGTCACATGAAACTTGGCCCGGGAACTAGGCTATTTAGAGCTCTTAGAGTTTAGAATGTTCGGGTTTAGGGTTTTCGGGTGAAGGGTGCACTCGTTGGTTCTTATAGCCCTCCTCTGTCTTCAGTTGAAGGGTATTGAGAGGTTATTGACGCTTTGGGTAGTATGGGTTGACTCCTGAGCTCACACGAGGTCATGTTCCCAACGCTTGAGATCCTAAACCCTGCATCTAAGTTTCGGTTTCTTTAACACTTTTGGTTGCTTAGAGCTGTAGAATGCTATGTTCTAGCTCGCAAGTTCTGCAGTTCAGACTACCTTGGGAACCATTCTGTTTCCCAAGAGTAAGCTGGGTAGAATACACCTCCTGTACCCAGAATTTGAATTTGAATGCATACTTCAGCATTTCACCAACAATGCATAGTCAATAGTCTCGCTAAAGTAGCTTACAGCTACTGGTTGTGTTTCGGGTTCCCTGAAAGCCAAAGCACGAAAGCCTGAAACCCTGACTTTCGCAATAAGCACTCACCCAGACCTGAAGGCTGCAGGCTTCAACCCGGAAAGATTTCTCTCTGAGGTGAGCTGAAGACAGGAGAGATGTACCGTGGACACTTGATGAACTGTGAGGAGATCGGAATCTGATTTGCTGCAGGGTTGCAGGATCTGAGGATTCAGGGTCAGAAGCGCTTTGGGGTTTTGGGTAAGTGAGGCCGACCTTTCAGAGCGAACCTTCCAGGTCAAATCGCCCATACCCAAATACCAAATTACCAGAGCAAGCCATGAACCCTAACCATAATCCTTAAATCCTATCCCGATAATAGGCCAAGGCACCAAACCCCAGAATCCTGACCCCTGCATCCCAAACCCGACAGCCCTGCAGGACAACATGAATGCGATGTTGGAGGGTGTGACCGTAACAGGCCGGGATGGCAAGGTGACCAACCTCGAGCAGGCAGACGGCCGTGGGAGGGGAGGTCTGTGCCAAGTTCTGATGACAGGGGCAACCCTTTTATCTCATTATCAACAACGGTTTGCGACTCTCCAGGCTTGAGGGGTTGTTTAAGCCTGCTTCTCAGGGTGCCTGCAGGGTGCACTAGGGAGTTTTCCAAAGCACCGGGGATGATGATACAGGATCAACAACTCCGCAGGAATCCCACTCCCCCACCTCAATCCTCGATCATCCTCAGTAGCCGTAGCCTCAACACCAAGTATTCTGTTCGCTTTACCCCCTCAACCCCGAACCACCTCCAACTCTAGCCGTTACATTACCTAAACCCGTTACCTAAACCCCCTTGTGGCGTACCCCCCACATGTTAAACCATGAACAGGTCTACCTCCGGGGCTCCCAGATCCGATATTTCATCCTTCCAGACATGCCACTGGGGCAACGAAGGAGGTAGTTTGTTGAATGGTCGTTACCAGCCTTTACTACTCACGGCTATTCTCGGCTGTCAGTCACTTATCGTTATGGGAATGGTGATGGTAATGACGATGGTGATGATGACGACCCCCTTCGGTCTGAATCATGGGGATTATGGTGGGTGTGTGTGTGTGTGTGTGTAACTCAGGCTTTGTGAGTTACTGAGTAAGATTCCAATTTGGAGAGCAATGGCTCGGGCGGCTTCAAAGTTTGGGCTTTTGGGTAGCTTCAAGGGGCACAGGGTTCGTGGTTGAGAGTATGAGGTTTAGGCTTGAATCGGTGATGACAAGAGCTCCACATATTGTGCCTTGCTCCGAAGAGTAATTTAGGATAGTCGACCTTGCGACCCTTGCGAGAGAAGATCGACGGTTAGACTATGATGCTCCCGCAGCTTCAAGCCTGGCAAAGAAGGAGAACATGGGTCGTCCGATTTCCTGTTCCAACAGTTGGGTTGCTACGCGAGCAAAGGAGGGGGCAGCATTCTATCTGCAGGGACCATGTTGTGGCCCCGACGAGTGTGGTCACTGTTTCATCAGTCATGCCGTTCTGCCTTTGTTACCTACAGCTTCAGTGTGGTACAATCTCTCACACAGTTGTGCAACTTTACGAGTCAAGGGGGCCAGCCTGAAGCGTACAAGCAAAGTGCCATGATTCCTCTGGGATGGCAGTTGCTAGTGGTGGGAGACAGCTCCTTTGTAACCCCTTGAAATAGTTTTCTTGAGCACGAGAGTCGGAGCTGCGTCGCACCCACGTATGTAAAGGACAAGTAAGCCATAGGCAGGACACATGTGTAAAGCTGCATCCTCACATGCGTACAGTGCGAGTCAAGAAGTTCTCACATGCCAAAACGTAAACTTGAAGACGATTACGTAAGCAAGCCAGGTGACTTTTGTGAAAGTGGGCCCATATAAACGCAAAGCCTGGTGTCAACATACTCCGTGTTCTATGCGTTGCGGAGGACCCGGTGTCAATAAACCCGGTGTTCCATGCATGATCTAACCACCCTGTTGCCGATCTCACAAGTTTGTCTGTTGCTTCTTGTTGTGTTTGTGTCCCTCTCCCTCTCTCTCTTTCTCTCTCCCTCTCTCCCTCTTTCTCTCTCTGTCTCTCTCTCCCTCTCTCTCTCGCTCTCCTTGGAGCCCAAGACCCAAAGTTTAATCTTCCAAGCTCAAAACACGCAGGTCTCATCCGCGCATAACCCTAAACCATGAATGCTACCAACTCCCCCAAACCCCAACCCCGAAAACCCTGAGCCCGCAAGTCCTGCCCCGCAAAACCCTCAACCCTTCAATTCAGCACTGAGCCCCAGAAGCCCTTTAATTCTGGAAGCGCAGCCACCTGCTTTCGCACCCTGAGGCTTCGGCATGCACCAATGTTCAAGAAGAAGGCTTTCGAAAGGGTGTTGAGTCAGGGTGCAAGGGTGTAAGATGCAGGGTTCCAGGTTCTGGAGTTAAGGTTTAGGATGAGAGAGTAAAGCAGTTGCCGAGGAAATTTGGACTCAAGTTGTTTGTTGCTTTTCTCCGTTCAGACTTGAGAGTTCAAGATGCCTTTTGAGTAGTTGTTGCACGCTCGGCTCATGGGTTTATGGGCGTTTTCAAATTCGGTGCGAAGGGGCAGAATCCTCTGAATGAGTCTGTTGAGGGTTCAGGGCTCTAGGATGAATGGTCGCATGCACCGCCCACAGCCCCGCCAAGCTTCGCGAGCCCATTCAGTGACTGTTCAGCGCGGGTAAGGAACCAAAGAGCCTGCATGCAACGAAAAAACCTCGCGCCTTCAACTGCAAATCCAAGAGCTTTCGTGCCGAAATCCGTGTCACGAAATTGACAGTTGACGATGATGCCATCGCGGAGCCCTACGACACAAACAAAAGCCCAACTGCCCTCGACCACCAATCCTTCATTAACCCTGAAGTCCTAAAGGCCCTGAGACCCAAAAGCCTAACCCCCAAACGACCCTGGGTTAGGCTTTCCTGCGTGCGCAGGGTGGTTCGGGTGGTTCTTGATCCAGTCCTGGGATTCGTTTAGCCAAGCTGTTGGATGTAACCTATGCCAGCTTACTGGTGAACAATGTAACTATGCCAAGCCTGCATAACTCACAAGGCCTTCCATATTGTCTTGGACAAGGAATCCGTGGCAATGCCGACTCGCTACCTCTGGACTCTTTGAACACTTCCTGGCACTCGGGAGGTATTCGTGGATGCCTAATTTAAGTTCCTCCAAATGCATGCTGAAATCGAACAAACAATCGCAGCAGTTTCCAACACCTTACAAAGACGATCCTTGGAAGAATTAAGATACCCTTAAAGACAAACCCCCTTGATACCGAACCTGCCGGCAGGGCCGCGGCGCCGGCCGTGGCGTCTACGGCCCGGGAGCTCCACTCAGCTTTCACTTAAGTGCACAAAGACTCAGCGGCTAAGTTCTTTTCATGTTTCTAGCTCTTGGTTCAGGATTCAAGGTGAAGATGTCTAGGGTTCGAGGTGAAGGGCTTAGGGCTTTGTCCTTGGGTCTAGCCAAGAGCCTCGGGTTTGAGGTTCAAGGTATGCTTCCAGACGTACGGCTTCGGGCAACGAAAGTTTTCGGGTGTAAGCGAGGCATAAGTTCAGGCTTCAGGGCGCTTTCTTGAAGGCAATACTAAACCAATCGTTCCTGCAACATAGGTTGAGGGCCCTTAGGCTTTACTGCGATCTTCTGGTCCTCCTAGTGTCACCTCGGCGAAGAGCACGGAACCTCCTTTGGTGGAAATCTTGTGCAACTGAAAGCATAGCATATTTCAGTGTTCACGCATCATAGCCATGGACCCTGTGCTACCTGACAGTCGCGACATGCCGAAGCTGACTCTGCACAGCATGCAGACAAAGTCGTTGCTTTGAACCCTAGCTCCCCTGATGAACATGCTTGAATTCAGAACCGTGTCAATCAAACCTCGTTCCGAATGGCTCACGTTTGGTTTTCCAGGCAAGGGCCGCGGCAAGGGCTTGGCGGCCCGCGCACGCACGGCCGCGGCATCCGGTCTTGCATTCAAAGCCCATCAAATCCCCAAAGTACAAAATCCCTGCCCTGAGGCCTATCATTGACCACTGGAGCCTTGATGCTTGAAGCTTGTAGTTATCTGCGCCCCGCCTACATACTGAGTTTAGAACTCCCTTGGCTTGTTGCTTATGGCGTCTGGCACGTACCGACGTATTTGGTAAGTATGGCAAGGAAGGAAGTCAGGGTACCTGCTCAGGGAGTTTTTCGCTTGCTAAGCTTGACTACCGGGTCCTAGAACATATACATGTGCATGCATGCATACGTACATATATGTATACATATATATATATATATATATGCATATGTGTGTGTATATATATATATATATGTAAGTACTTACATATACAACACACCAACATACGTGCATGCATACAGTTTTCTGCATTCACATTCATTCACAACACACACATTACATTCGTACAGATGTACATACATACATACATACAGACATACATATGTACATACATGCATACATACATACATGCAAACATACATACATGCTAACATACGTACATACATGCATACACGCACACATTTATGTACATACATACATACCTGTTTATATGTATGTATATATATATATATATATATATATATTGGAATGCTCATGTGTATGTGTATACATGTGTATATATATTTTATATGTGCACATGCATACGTATACTTGTAGATGCCTATAACCTATGTATGCGCGTGCCAAATGCTCTTTGCGCAGATAGTTGAGTATACAAACCTATGTACATGTTTATACATATGTATATGCAAGTGCATATGTATACTATATGTATATATGTATACATATGTGTATATTCACATGCACATGTATGTGTATACGTATGCGCGCATGTATGTATATATATATATATATATACATATGCATATGTGTACATGTAAATGCATATGTATATGCACATGCATATGTATGTTTATGTGTACATACACATATGTGGGTATGTTTGCATCTGCATGTGCATATGTCTCTGCTTATGCATATGCATATGCATATGTCTGTGTATGCATATGCATATGTCTGTGTAGGCATATATATGTACAAATACATGTACATGTGTATATTTGCCTGAGCTTAAACGCCCCGAAAGCCTCCAAGGCCCTGTAAACACCAAACAAGAAGTTTCGGGCCAGGGATTTGAGGTTAAGGGTTCAGGGCTTCTGTCCCACGAGTTTCCTCGCAGACGATGCCTACTCATGAACAATCTTGCCACTCCTCTGTAAAAGATGAACACAAGCGACCCTTTACTGCCGGACTCCAAAATCTATAAGCCCTGCATTCCTACATCCCACAATCTCGCCCGGCCGAGGCAGCAACCAGGAAGTGAGCGGAAAGTATACGGCTTCCAGCCGGATATCGGCTTCGCAGCAGAGCCGAAAGCTCTCATAAGTTTGGTGGTTATTTTATTCGGGTGCTAAACGGGTTCAGCGTTTTGACTTCATGCATAGGGCTAGTTCAAGTTTCGGGCTTGGGGTACGTGCAGCAGCGGCGTCCTTGAATGCGAGCAGCTCCCACCATTGCAGTGTCTGTCTCGGACACTGCATGTGAGGATTTCCCAGCGGGCTTATGCAGAAGTTGACAGACATGTTGACAGAAATGAAACAATACACCGACTGTTATAGGGTTGCAGATGCCTGAACTTGTACCCAGCTTCGGGTAAACGCACAGGGTTGTAGCACCGCTCAGCGATAAACATTGTAGGTCCGAGAACAGAAGATTGTGTTTGAAGCCCAGCATCCCCAACCCTGCCATCTAATGCCTAGTCACCAAAACTCGAAACCCCAAGCTTTACGTCTGATCAGCCCGAAACCCTGCACCCTATGTATGCCCCAGGTCTGTAACCCACACTCATCAAAGCTCTGCTTGGGCTTCTGGGTTTCCAGACTTTGGCTGAAAGGTTCTCCTGAGTTCATGCTTTTCGTACTTTGGAGCTTTGAGGCTTGGGGCTCTCTGACTTCAGGTTAAGGGCTTTGCTTTTTCGGGCCGTAGCTTGAGGGGTTCCCAGTTGGTTCAGCGAGAGGTCGCAGTGTCTACAGTGTGCACCGACAACTCGAGGCCCAAGCTCCAGCTAGCACTGGTGTGCTGGAGAATGCTAATACCTTGACAGTTGCGCCCACGACAGTTACACAATAACAGCGTGCGACTGACATACAATTCAGGGTTTCTCATTGACCCCGAGGTTTGTGGTTTCGGGATTGCATGCTACGGTTCAGAGTGAGGGGGTACGGCACCTGGGTTTCGCCTGAGAAGTCCTCATATTAGACGCCGCGCAGATTTTGGCCTCGACAAAAAGTGCTACGCCGGGATGATCGACACTGCTTGGGATCCTCAGCCCCAAATCTCTCCTGTAACCCCGAAACGCTAAGTCATAGCCCCGTAACTTTAAACAAACCATCAGCCTAATCCCTAGGCCCTAGCCCTAACCCTATGCAGATCCCTAGCCTCCGCGCTTCACTTCATGAGGTTGGATATCTTCACGTTCACATCGGCCGGGTCCTTGGAGCCTCCCTCGGAAGTCCTTTGCTGCGCATCTAGATTCCCAGGTCCTTTTCGTGATTGAATGCCAGCATGTAATACACACACACAGAGCGACACACGCAAAGGTATCGCAAGGATACAGAGACAGACACAGACGGAGAGAGATACCCATCGACAACCGAAGCTTCGTTGCACACAGTTGGCTGGGCATGCCTCGAGCCCCTGCAAATCGTAAACCGTCTGACCAGGCCGATCCGAAGCCCAAGAGGCTTTGTTTGGTGTGAACCCCTGCTGACAGAGACAGACAGACAGCCAGACAGCCAGGCAGGCAGGCAGACAGACAGAACTTCTGCGGGTGTGACCAGGGGCTTCATGGAGTCAGCCCGTTGTCGATACCCCAAATCCCCGAGCCTGAAGTCGAAATTTTGGGTAGTTCAAGGCTTGGGTGTGTGTGCTTGTGTGTGTGTGTGTGTATGTTTTTTTGTTTGTCTGTGTGTGTGTGTGTATGTTGAGGCGTTTCCATTCGAAATTGCCCTTTCGTGTCCATGCCGCAGATTGCGGTTGTATAACAAGGGGGTTCTTGTCGATTAGTCTAGGATGCCCTTCGGGTTGTTTAACCTGTAAAACGATAAGAAGTAAAACAAAACGATAACGTACGAATGTATGAAAACTATGACTAGTCCTACTACGGTTACTACTGTACTGCTTGCAGTACGGTTTACGGCTTCCGCTGCTACTGATCTTGCTGCTACGGCTATTGCCTTGTGCAAGCTGAGGCTTTAGAGCTTGCACTTATGCAAGCTGAGGCTTGCTGAAGCTTGAGAGGCTGCACTTGTACAAACTGAGGCCTTGCAGACTGCACTTGCTTGTGCAGGCTGCACCGCTGCAAACTGAAACTTAAGGAATTGCTGCATGAAGCCTCCAAAATCCGAGGCAAGTTGAGTGTCCAAAACGAGAACAGAACGAGAACAACACGTTAGTTTTTGTTTGACAGAGGTGACATGCGCTATCCGGTACCCGTGCGAGCTAGCCTGTTGAGGTGTTGTTCTTAAAGGTGTTGTTCACCAGTACTTCAGACCTGTGGACATCTTGGGGTACGCACTTGTAGATGGGCTGTAAGATGCTGCAAGCCACCAACAAGCCTGTACCCCGTTCTTTTCATATGCGTCAACCCTTGATACCTTGTAAAACGATGAGGACTAAAAAGCGATGACCCAGTTTGGGGATAAGGGATTCAGAACGGGGTCTTTATACAACCCCGATTTGGGGATGGGTGCATGAGTTGGGAGTCCTAACTAAACAGCACAGGCCCCTGCAGACACAACGTCCGAAAGGGCGTCCAGAATAGGCTTTCCGTTTAAAGTATGCTATTGGGGTGTGTTAAGGGAAAGGAAGCCTCGTCAGGCCCTCAAGGCTCTTTCGTCAAGCGGCCACTGGAGCAAGGCAGATGGGGGCCTTCTGCGGATCCAGCTCTTGACCGTGCTCAATGTTCTTTAGAGTCTGTTCTTGTCTGGGTCGCTGGTCGAAGGATGCCTCAGGCTTTTCGAGGTGTATGTGCATGCTTTCCGCGGGTCAGCAAACTCTAGACGCAAAACCCACGCCGCGCCCCTAATGACGAACTAAACGTTGAACCCTGAGCCTTGAATCCAAAATCTTGAACCCTGAGCGCAAAATCCAGAGCTACTATCTCAAATTATCCCAGACCCTAAATTGCGTCGCAAGGGTCCAGAGAGTCTGTGAAGGCTTTCATGCCACTGCACAAGACTTTCTGAGTCCCTCCCTGCCGAAGTAACGTAGGAGGTACTGATCTCATTACGACAATTCGTGTGCGAAACCTGGAACCTTTGGTCTTACTGGCTATAGTTGGAATCCTACAAATCTTCAACCTGTATCCCAAGCTGCCGAATCTTAAACCGTTTTCTTCTGAAGGACACCGGTTTTGAGCTTTGCATTGATTGCCCGTAAAGTGTTATAAGTGTCCTGATGAGCACGTTTTCTTCAGTTTTGTGCAATTGAGGATGCAGGGTTTGGGGGATTTTGTGCGAGGGATAGTAATCCAGCCACAAATCCCTAGCCAAAAGGAATGATTGACTTGCGAGCTGATTCCGCCATGAAGATGCGGTTCGGTTTTGTTCATGGTTCTAAGCTGCATGACAGTTTGTGAGCGCAAATCTGCAAGAACTGGCAATACTGTGCCTTCTGTTCACTTGCTAAGCGGTTTGCACACCGGCTTGTAGGCTTCAGGGTTTTAGGGTTTGAGATTCAGGGCTTTTTCTTTTTCGCTCTCAAGAATCCTTCGAATCAATTAATATTGTCCACCTGAGTGGCAACAAGGCGCGAGTTAACGGTGCAGCCATAGGAATTGGCAGTGTTCGTCCTTCGCAAATTCCTACCTAGTAGAGGCAATGTGCACCTCTTACAACGCTCTTGCAAGCCTACAGGATCCTCTGAACCCCACAACACGTACCCACGAGCACGCAGGAATCCGCACGACGTGCAGTACTTCACTAGATGAGTACATGAGCCTCGACCTGGAACCTCGAAACCATGCACCCGCAAACCCTGAAACCCAAAGCCCCCAAAACCCTAAGCACGAAACCCCGACTTGCACTGAAACTCTGAAACCCCCTCGAAGCCCTCGAAGCCCTGAAGCTCCGGAGCAGGTCCTCGGGCTTCTTGAGGACAGCGCTTCGGGTTTGGGCCCCTTCTGCGTAGGGTGTCGTTGAAGCTCAGGGTTGCTGCAAGTGCTTCAGGATCCTGTAGTCCGCTTCGAGGTCTTCGCAGCCTTCTACGAAAGCGCCAGCGTGTCGTCAGAGCTGCACTTTCCGCTTATTCCTAGCACTCCGTAGTGAAGGCTCTCCCTGCCGCAAGGCCTCCAAGCAGGTATGGTTTCGGGTTGAGGGGCCGCAGGCCTTGATTTAGAGTTTCAGGGTTTTTGGCTCTCGGAGTTTATGGTTAACCCAGAACCTTACCCATGACCCTGAATTAGACCATAGACCCCGAACCCCTTGACTCCCAAACCCACTACACCCGTCACCTATTAAACCCCGCCTCAAATCTTCTGAACCCTACACCAGAGGCCCCACGAGAGCACTCCCTGGGGCTTGCATGGCGTGGATTGGAACACAACCCAACAGGCTCTTGAGAAAACTATAGTGTGTTAAATGTCCAAGCGGGCTACTGTAACCCCTGTTGCAAAGCTTATCGTAACTCTGAAGGGAGCCGTGAAGCAAAGGACCCTTATCCTAACCCTAAGCAAAGAAGCATGCCAGGACCTGCGCTCCCGGGAGATCCAGGCAGATGCGCAGCTTTGCACCACGGCGGCCTGTGGCTTAGATTTCAGCTCAGCTCGGGAGCTGTGTTGGGCGTCGGGTTCAGGCTTAGCGGTCTTCGAGTTCAGGGTTCAAGTTGCAGATGTTTCGTTTGTTTAGCTTTCGGCTTTTGTTGGGGGTTTTGGGTTAGAGGGGTTCGAAGGGGGTTAAATGCAGGGCTTCAGCGGCTCTGGCTATTCCGCAAGGGAGTTTCGAGAGTTTTGTTGGTGGTTTGTGGTTCAGGGTTGAGGGTTGGAGAGTTGGAGCTTTCGGGCTTTGTGTTTCTGTGGCGGTGATCAGAGGCTTGCTTAATTACATAGATGGGGCCTCACATCACAAACCCTTCAGTCAAGTCCGGTATATATATCCTAAATCCAAGATCCGAAACCCCCAAAACTCGACTAGATCCCGATCTCAATCAAAGCCATCCACCCTGGACCCAGGTCAGGGTGTGCAGCAAAGGACGGCGATGGCAGGAGGCTTCAGATTGAAAACGCTTGAGGAACTGGTTTAAGCTGGGGCAGAGTATCAAAGGTTT